ATGAGTACGTTTCTTATCAAGCATTGTTTCCCCTTCCTCATTTGTTTCCCCTTCCCATCCCTTCCCATCCCCCCCACCCTCCCATCCAATCTTCCCCCCACCAAAGTTATAAAATTCATTTTTCAAGATAGCAACTGTACATCTCATTGTTGCAATGGGTCCACCTGTATCCCTATTTAAACGATTTATTTTTTTTCCCTTCCCCTCCACAAATTATACCAACATCAAATGCAGTGAAAGTAGGGGTTATACCATGGAGGAGGGACATACAAAGCAACAAAGAAATCATGTTAGAAACAATTGCATGAAAGATAAAAAAAAAACATTTGAATACTTATCTTGGGGTTCCTTTCCCTAACACCAACTTATCTGACCTTTTCTGCTTGACTCAGACATATACTAATTATTGCAAATACCCAGCCAGGTGCCAGTGGCTCACGTCTGTAATCCTAGCTATTCAGGAGGCTAAGATCTGAAGATCAAGGTTCGAAGCCAGACCAGGCAAGAAAGTCCATGAGACTCTTATCTCCAATTAACCACCAGAAAACTAAAAGTGGTGCTGTGGCTCAAGTGGCAGAACACTAGCCTTGAGCTGAAGAGCTGAGGCCAGTGCCCGGGCCCAGAGTTCAAGACCCATGACCAACAAAAAAGAAAAAAAAAAAGAAAAGTCTACCCATGTGGCTAGGAAAGGCAATCCACCACTGAGCCACATCCATAGCCCCAGACATTTTTCTAGGGCACTGAAAGCAGTAATGATAAAAAGAAAGTGATGAATTCGTTTACATCAAAATGTAAAACTTCTGCTCAGAAGCACTGTTAAGAAAATAAGTAGGAAGCCAGGTGCCAGTGGTCACACCTATAATTCTAGCTACTCAAAAGGCTGAGATTTGAGAATCAAGGCTTAGAACCAACCCAGGGAGCCAAATCTGCAACACTTTTATCTCCAATTAACTAGCAAAAAGCTGGAAGTGGAGGTATGGCTCTAGTAGTAGAGCACCAACTATGATTAAAAAGCCAAGTGAAAGTATGAGGCCAAGTTCAGTTCTAGTACAAGGGGGTGGGGTATGGTGAAGAAAAGGCAGGGAAAGAGAATAGGCTTGTTGTATTGGTGCTTGTGTATGATTCTAGAAGTCAGGCGGATAAGGCAGTAGACTCTGGAGTTTGAGGCCAGCCTGGGCTACTTAGTGAGACTTTGTCTGACAAAAAGACAGACAGGGCAGGGTGGTCAATTAGGAGAAAATACTTTGATAATACATGTCTGACGGAGGTCTTGTATCCAGAATGTATAGAGAACTCCTGCAACTTAAAGTTTTACAATTTAAGTTTAGCTGTTAGGATCTGGCCCAGTGGCAAAGCACTTGCCTCACAAGTATGTAATATCCTAGGTTTGATCCTCAATACCAAAAAAGAAAAGACTTTTAAAAAGAAAAATCAGAATGATGTATCTGTTTGAGCCAAATGTTAGTGGCTCACATCTATAATCCTTTTTTTTGGTCAGTAGTGAGGCTTGAACTCTGGGCCTGGGTGCTGTCCCTCAGCTCTTCAGCTCAAGGCAAACACTCTACTACTTGAGCCACAGCACCACTTCCAGTTTTCTGGTGGTTAATTGGAGAGAAGAGTCTCATGGACTTTGCTGCCTGGGCTGGCTTTGAACCGTGATCCTCAGATCTCAGCCTCCTGTGTAACAGGCATGAGCCACCAGAGCCTGGCTACCTATAATCCCTACTGTGAAAGAGGCTGAAATCTGAAGATGAGAAGGAAAGTCTGTGAGACTCTTATTTCCAATTAACTACCAAAATGCCAGAAATAGTGCTGAGTCTCAAAGTGGTAGGTACTGCCCTTGAGCACAAAAGCTCAGAGACAGCACCCAGGTCCTAATTTCAAGCCCAAGGACTGGCACCAAAAAAGAAAGAAAGAAAGAAAAAAAAAAGTGTAAGGACAGTGTTCAGACCTCAGTTCAAGCCCCACAACCAAAAAAACAAAAAACAAAAAAACACATTTAAATGTACTTAATGAACAAAAGTCAACAAACACTTTACTGGAGAAAATATACAAATGTGTAATAAATACTTGGAAAAGTGTCCCATATGAACCATTAGGTAAATGCAAGTTAATAGTATAGTACACTTCCAACAGAAAAGGTAAAATTAAGAAGACTGGCCATAACAAATATTGGTGAGGGGGGCTGGGAAGGAGGCTCAGTGGTAGAGTGTTTGCCTTGCATGCATGAAGCCCTGGGTTCGATTCCTCAGCACCACATAAGCAAAAAGAAAAAAGCCAGAAGTAGCGCTGTGGCTCAAGTGGTAGAGCGCTAGCCTTGAGCTGAAGAGCTGAGGGCATTTTGGTAGTTAATTGGAAATAAGAGTCTCACAGACTTTCCTTCTCATCTTCAGATTTCAGCCTCTTTCACAGTAGGGATTATAGGTAGCCAGGCTCTGGTGGCTCATGCCTGTTACACAGGAGGCTGAGATCTGAGGATCACGGTTCAAAGCCAGCCCAGGCCGAGTCCCCACAACCGGACCCCCCACCCCAAAAAAAAACCACACAAAACGAATATTGGTGAAGATAGGAAGGAACCAGTTTGCTTTGAGGGAAAAAAAAAAAAAGTTTACTAGTTTTTTATGAAACTATTTTAATAGACATGGCTCAAGTGGCCAGCCAATGAGTGAAAGCATCAGATACTGAGTTTGAGTCCCAGTCTTGGACAAAAAAAAAAAGGAGGAGAAGGAAAATGGGGACATTCCAATTGTAATATAATATAAACGTGAAAATATAACATTGAAATTCCTTCTGTATAACTAAATAAGCTAATTAAAATATGGTACGGCTGTTGAGCACCAGGTGGCTCACAACATCTCAGAAGGCTGAGATCTGAGGTTCACAATTGAAAGACAGCCAAGACAGGAAAGTCTATGAGACTCTTACCTACAATTAACCACAAAAAGCTGAGTGGAGCTGTGGCTCAAGTGGTAGAGAGCAAACCTTAAACGAAAAAACTAAGAGGTGTGTACACATGAATGGTATGGCTAAGATTAGTACATTTTAAGATCTAATATTTTCTGTAATTTAGAGTTATTATTTGAAGTAATAACATAGGAAAAACAGAAGTACTAACTAGAAATAATAACAGAGGAAAAGTAGGTAGAAGTAGAGGAACCAAGAATGATAGTGTGCTGATTATCACTGAAGTTAAGTAATGATTATGGTTGCTTTTTATATAATGCTGTTCATATTGTTTATGTTTGAAATTTTGTATAATAAAACTAAAGAGGACAGTGGAAAATTGAGAAATATTTGAGTCTTGAACCTGGCTTTAAGCTATTAACTTAAAACTTAAGAGGCTAAACAAAAAACATTTCAGTGTTTCCCCCTGAACTAAGTAGTGAACAGTCAATGAAACCAGGGATATAGAGAAATAAAGATAAACCACTTACTAAGATAAACATAATAGACATAGCTAAATTTGAGATTGAAACCAGGTACCAGTGTCTCAAGCCTATAATCCTTGCTACTTGGGAGAGAGAAATTGGGAGTGTTGTGAGTCCAGCAGGGTAGAAAAGTCTATAAGACTCCTTAGCTCATAACTAGGCTCAGTAGTACCTGTCATCCCAATCTGGGAGATTGACACTGGGAAAACCTAGATTCCAGGCCAGCCCAGGTAGAAAAGTACATAGGTTATATAACATAAGTTATTATATCTCTATGGCTAGAAGCTGGATGCATTAACCAATGCCTGTGATCCTAGTAATGGTAAGACGCCTAAAGTAAGCAGACACCTTTGTGAGAAGAGAGACATACTATCTTAAAAATAACCAGCAAAAGATAGGACTGGAAGTATGGCTCCAGTGATAACAAGCAAAAAGCCCTGAATTCAAACCCTAGTGTGATTTTTTTTTAATGAGATTAATCATTTCATATTCAATTGCAGCAGTTTGCAAACTATTAACAAATTATCTAGGAAAAACTCAATTGCTTTATTTTATCCCTAACTTGGAATTTTTGTCTATATCTGATTTTTTAAAACCTTTTTTTTTTAAATCTGCTTTCCTTGTGAAGATTGTTACAAAGGATTCTGAAAGGTAGGTAGGTTTTTCAATATACTCAGCTTCAAAGGAATATTAACAATTTTATAATTAATAGAAGTAAATCTTTGTTTTCCTGCCCTATAAATACATAAAAGAAGGAAACACAATATATGTATAGCATAAATAACTTAAAGAACCATATACTTGAAAATGTGACCATAAACTATCAGTGGTTAAAAAAAAATTATGGATGAAAGTTCTTTTGAGAGGGCTGGGAAGGTGGCTCAGTGGTAGAGCGCTTGCCTTGCATGGATTAGATTCCTCAGCACCACGTAAGCAAAAAGAAAAAAACCGGAAGTGGCGCTGTGGCTCAAGTGGTAGAGCCCTAGCCTTGAGCTGAATTGCTGAAGGACAGTGCCCAGGCCCAGAGTTCAGGCCCACGACCGGACACACAAAAAAAAGGAAGTTCTTTTGAGAGACAAGGTAAACATGAAAATTTTATATAGACTGTTATCTTTATAACATGAAGTATGTGAGCTTTCTTAAAAGAAAATTACACTAGGGCTGGGAAGGTGGCTTAGTGGTAGAGCACTTACCTTGCATGCATGAGGCCCTGGGTTCAATTCCTTAGCACCACATAAGCAAATATAAAAAAACGGGAAGTGACACTGTGGCTCTAATGGCAGAGCGCTTGCCTTGAGCTGAAGAGCTGAGGGACAGCGTCCAGGCCCAGAGTTCAGGCCCCAGGACTGGACCCAAAAAAAAGAAAAAAAGAAAATTACACTAATAATAGTGTTAGTACTTTTATCTGTTTTATTGTTTGATTTTTACATGGTCTAAGAGAAAGAGGATAGCAATTTATCATAGAAAGTATGTATGTTTAAAAAAAAAGAAAGTATTTAAGTTAGTATTTAATAATATATTTTGAAAACTCCAGTAGGCAGGCATGTAAACTCATGTTTGCAATCTTTTTAGCTACAGAAGATTATAAGCAAACAAGATGACTTCAAGACAATGAAAACTAATGAAACAGAATGCGAGGTATGTACATATAGTCTAAATATTTCCACAGGGGATGTTTATAATAATTGCTCTATTCTATTTGTTCAAATAAATGTCCTCAATTAATTGGTAAGATTTACCAATAGCAATATTTTACATAAATGTACTATATTCACATGGTCCCAACTCCAAAAGGCACACATGAGTATACAGAGCAAGAGTTACAGAGCAGAATTTTCCCCAGGCAGTCAGTCCCCCAGTTTTCCTCCCTGAGCAGTTAGTGTTATCAGTTTCTTATACACACTTCCATATATATGTACATATATATATGCACTCTCCAATATATATATACTCTCCAATATCTGCTATAGAATATGAACCAATTGACTGGGAAGGTGGCTCAGTGGTAGAGTGCTTGCCTTGCATGCATGAGACCCTGGGTTCAATTCCTCAGCACCACATAAGCAGAAAAAGCCAGAAGTAGCACTGTAGCTCAAGTGGTAGAGCTCTAGCCTTGAGCTGAAAAGCTGAGGGACAGCGCCCAGGCCCAGAGTTCAGGCCCCACAACTGGAAAAAAAAAAAAAAAAAAAAAACAGAATATGAACCAATTTTTATTCCCATCTGTGCAAGTACATTTTTAACTGATAATCTTTAAATTCAACCCTACCTCAGGATTTTCCTTGACATTTTCTTAAATTTCCAAATCATTTCATTTTCTAGAGCATGTTTATTTCAGAATTTGCAAATTATTAAAATCAAGGTGATTTTACATGTTATCTTCTGAGTGATCCTGAACTGTTCTTCTTTGTCTCCCATCCAAGTGCAAATGTTATTATGTCCTTTTCCTAGATGTACACATCCTGTATCTTCTAGTCTCTGTGTGCCATTGTCGTGATGCTTCATCACATGTGAATGGAATTGTTTATTGCATACTCTTCAGTGAAAACACCATGCAGCTGCTTTAGCTTGTGTGAGTTAGGAGCCTGGTTCAGTCTTTAAAAGGCCTTACCATGTCACATTGATTCTTGAAATGCCAACCTTCTATCTTCTGCCTGACTTCTGGTTTTCCTTGTTTACATTTAGTTTCTTCACCTTTGTTCCTCATTCCACTGCTGTCACTTGGCCCAAGCCACTGGTATTCATTACTTGCATTCCCACAGGAGCTCCTGACTGACCTCCTTGCACCTACTCTGTCTTCTGTCTAATTCATTTTCTCATTTTCACCAGGGTGACTTAAGTACTCTTTTTTTTTCTTTTTTTCTTTTTTTTTTTCTTTTCTTTTTTTTTTCTTTTTTTTGTTGGTTGTGGGGCCTGAACTCTGGGCCTGGGCGCTGTCCCTCAGGTCTTCAGCTCAAGGCTAGTGCTCTACCTCTTGAGCCACAATACCATTTCCAGCTTTTTCTGCTTATGTGGTGCTGAGGAATTGAACCCAGGGCGGTATGCATGCAAGGCAAGCACTCTACCACTGAGCCACCTTCCCAGCCCCTATATAACTACTCTTTAAAATTAAATAAATAAATAAGAAAATAAGCTATAATAGCATGTAAAAAAATTTTCATAGTTTCCCTTTGTTCTTAAGTTAAATTCAAAACTCATCATAAATCTGGGTTATCCAACCCTCCTTCAGCCTTCTTCTATACCACTCACACTCAGAAATCTAGTTGCCTATATTCTGATGTTGCTTTAATCAGACACTGGGCACACCTGTTTATCAACCTCAGAGAAATTGTAAATATTAAATGAATTAATACATTGTAGTCTCCTAGAACTAACCTTAACAGCCTAAGTTGTACATAAGTAAAAATTCACTATCTAGGCCAAGCATAGTGGCTCACATTTGTAATACAAGCTACTTAGGAGGCAAAGATTAAAAAGATTGCAGTTGGAAACCATTCTAGGCAAAAAGTTAATGAGACCCCCATCTCAGTCCATCAGTAAACTTGACATAGTGGTGTGTAGCTGTAATCCTAGCTACCCAGGAGTCATAACTGATTTACTAAAAAAGGATGGGGTAGCCAGTTGCTGGTGGCTACCTGTAATCCTAGCTACTCAGGATGCTGAAATCTGAGGAATGTAGTTCAAAGCCAGTCTGGGCAGGACAGCTCATGATTGTCTTATCTCTAATTAACCACCAGAAAACTGGACCCCACAGTGGCTCAAAGTGGTAGAACACTAGCCTTGAGCAAAAAAGCTCAGAAACAGCGCCCAGACCTGAGCCAGAGCCCCACTTCCAAAAAAGACAGGAGCATGGACTGAAGTCCTAGAAGGCCTGCCTAGGAAATACACGGCCTGGAGTTCAAATCATAGTACTACCAAACAAACAAAAAGAAAAACTTGCCATTATATATTATCATATTATTGTTGATTCTACATCCAAGTCAGAGAACATCATAATGTCTGCACCTTCAAGTTTTATACAAACTCCCTGTAAGCATGTTTATTCCCACTTGCTTTCTTAATTTCTGTTGAGTCTTCCTATCACAATTTAAATTACATTTCTTAGGGAAATTTCCTGAGCTTCAGCCCCTGCACCATCACTATTTTTAATAATTTGTTGAATGCCCAGGAATGTAAAACCACAGATCCTCAAGCCCTAGGAGTGTGTAATCATAATAGAAATTTACTACATCTTTATTGATGACTAATGGACTGCCTGCCTGACAGACAGTACTATTGTGTTTATGCCTTCTTAGGATTTTTTGTTTGTTTGTGTGTTTCCAGGGGACATAACTGGGACTTGAACTTAGAGCCTCATACTTGCTATGTAGGTGTGCTCTACCACTTGAGCCACACCCTCAACCCAATGTCTCATTTCTTATTTCAAAATGAATTCCAGATGAAGCAGAAATTTAAGTGTCAAAAATGAAAACATGGAAGTATTTTAGGAAATTAGTATTTTTACATTACTGAAGTGGATAACTGTTTTATATTATTGAGGTAAGTAATGTATTCCAAATTCCGTTGGATTTTGCTGCTGCTATTTAACAGCTAATACCTCAAATTTTAAAAAAAGGTCAAAAGACACGAAGAAGTAGCAGGATAAATACAAATAAGTAATAAACATGAATAATTAAAGAAAAAAGTTAAATAACAGCAATTGTTAAAATTTGTTTTCCTACCAGACTGGCAAAAGTACAAGGTTAATACTCTATAGTCCCAACTAGGCATGGTGGCTCATTCTGGCACACTCTCAGAGGCTGAGGTGGAACATTGTGAGTTCGAAGCCCACGTGTGCTACGTAGTGAATTAGAAGCCAGCCTGAGCCAAATATAGCAAGGTTCTGTCTAAAAAAACAACCAAAAAAATCCCCCAAAATCTGTGTTCTCTAAGGCGAAATGGGTAGGCACTCTTTATGAGAACGTAAATTACAAAGGCTGAAATCTGAGGATCACAGTTAAATGCCAGCCCCAACAGGAAACTCCTTGAGACATATCCAGTTGACCAGCAAAAAGCCAGATGTGGAGGTATGGCTCAAATGGGAGCGTGCTAGCCTCAAGCAGAAAGTCTCAGAGATAGCACCAGACCCTGAATTCAAGCCCCAGGAATGGCAAAAAAAAAAAAAAGATGTTTATAAGCAACATAAATGTCCACAAATAGGAACTGGATTCATTACATATGGCAGCATCCTTGGCCAGCTTACTGCCAACTATGAGATTTTCCTTCTACCAAAGGGCATTACAGACTCAGCCTTGTCACTCTTCTGTGACAGTCACAAATAAGGAGAAAGGAGTACATACTAATCAAAAAGAAAAAAACTAAAACTGGGAAATAATGAAGAGTCAACACTGTTCAAAAACAGATGTACTCATTGCCTGACTTGTGTGACTGCAACCCTTCTGTGTATCACCTTCACAATACAAAATTTAAAAAAATAATAATAATAATATGCTGCCTTCAGGAAATACATATGAGTACACACACAGCAGTACATATCATGGGCTGACTATCCACTAAAAATTAAAATGATCGACACTGTTTGTATAAAAAGTTGCTCAAGTGGCTGGGAAGGTGGCTCAGTGGTACAGTGCTTGTCTTGCATGCATGAGGTCCTGGATTTGATTCCTCAGCACCATGTAAGCAGAAAATAAAGCCAAAGTGGCATTGTGCCTCTCAAGTGGTAGAGTGCTAGCCTTGAGCTGAATTGCTGAGGTACAGCACCCAGGCCCAGAGTTCAGGCCCCACAACCAACCAACCAAAAAAAAAAAAAAAAAAGTTGTTCCACCTTAAATAGGAAAAAAATCCTTATTTCTAAAAATAAGTGTACAATGATTTTCTCTGCAAAGGGTATATTTGGGGAGAAAGATTATAAATCTACAAGGATATTCACCATTGAGTTAACAGCAATTCCTATATAGGGAGATTTCAGAATTTAGGAGATGTATCTTTTGCTTTTCTTCATGCATTTACTGTCATTTATATTTTCTGAGCATGTATGGTTTTTTTTAAATAATATAGATGTCATGTTTATTTTTTTGAAGTTGTTTATCTTATTTTCAGCAAACATCATTCACCATTTTTCTGGGGGTTTTTTGTTGGTTTTGTTTGTTTTGGTTTTTTTTGTTTTGGTTTTTTTTTTTGCCAGTTGTGGGGCCTGAACTCTGGGCCTGGGCACTTCCCTCAGCTCTTCAGCTTAAGGCTAGCGCTCTACCACTTGAGCCACAGCACCACTTCAGCCTTTTCTGCTTATGTGGTGCTGAGGAATCGAACCCAGGGCCTCATGCATGCAAGGCAAGCACTCTACCACTGAGCTACCTTCCCAGCCCACCATTCATTTTTCTTTCTCTTTTTCTTTTACTGTTGTTGGTAAGAGTGCTGCTAGGGCTCAGACTGGGAGTCAGTGTGTGCTGAGTACATCTTCTGCCACTGAGCAGCCCAGTGGCCCCTCACCATCCTTTCTCTAAGTAAATGAAATCCTTAACAAATCATGGTTCAGGCCCCACGACCGGACCCCCCCCAAAAAAAAAGGTAGATTACTAGCCTTGAGGGCAAAGAAGTACTGAATTCAAGCCCCAGAACCAGAAGGGAAAAAAAGCTACCAA